AATTATTGATTTTTCTTTTATGCCAAAAATCATTAGGATATTAAGTAAAGATCATGTTCCATGAAGATATTTTGTAAATCTCCTACCGTAAATATATCAAAACTTAATTTTTGATTAGCAATATGCATTATTTAAAGGCGATTTTCTACGTATTTTGATTTTTTCGCACCCTCAGATTCCACATTTTTAAATAGTTGTATCTCAGCCAAATGATGTATAAATCTCAATTTTGAAAAATTGACCCTTATGACTGGTTTTGTGGTCCAGGGTCACATATGTGAAGATTAGTCAGCTTATCTTTACCATCTTCACATTAATGCATTTCTATAGTATTTTCAAAATACACCATCGCAGCTGTTCCACACTGGCTGTAGAAACAAACAGGACCATGCAAACAGTCAGAGCCACATACCGTGAGAGCAGGAAGAAGAAGAAAAAACAAAGACAACTAAACAGGATATACTATAAGAGACATACAGCTTAACTCAGTTCCCTCACATAAATAACAACTACAACTCAGAAAGAAAGAAGAATGTGACACATCAGCACATGAAGAACTGCAGACCTAAACATCATTTCAAAAGGCTGTTTTTTCTCTTCTAGAATTTATAGTCTCTGCTCTTGGCCCACAAAAGACATTTTTTTAGCCTCTCAAATGGTTGCATAGCAAAAGTCGAAAGAGTATCATTGCCCTGTGGACCTCTAGACATAGTTTACTACCTTATATCATACTTTCCCCGAAGGGACGTTGCTTAGCTGTTATGCAATTTGTTTGTAACAAACTAAATGGTGCACAACACCTGGACTAACTTCAGGACACACTGACTGAGAAAATACAGCAAGAGGCTTGACATGTAAGGTTTGGAATCCACAATGAAGTTGTGCTATTTCTGGTGAATGTATAAATCAAGATGAAACGCAGATTGTATGGCTCATCGTCACTGCATTGCAACATCATTTGAACAACATTCCAAGTACACCACAAATTGCTTCTTTTAAACAAACAAAAATACTTCTAATCACTGACAGCAATTATTGAGAGTGACTACTTCATTTCCTGAAAATCTCATGGGAAGACCAGTGCTAAAAACGGTACAGCCTAACAGGCAAAAGTGGTTTTGAAAAACTAATACCATTTTCAACAAAGTAAAACAAATTTTAAAAATCCATACACCTTGAATATATGCGAGTGACACATTTGAATAATTTTAAAATAGTTTTTAAAATACATTCTCCAGGAAAAATGTTTTATACAAATATTATGCATTAATACATGCATTTTTGGGAAATCGTACCACGTTACATTTCTGAACTAACCTTGCCTAGTCATAAAAATGTCAAATTATCTTGATTTATCAAATTATCTCAAGCTATCTTTTAAGAGACTTACTGACCG